GAAATTCTGAGATTATAAGATTCTGGAATTCTTAAAAAATAGCTCTCTGAACTCCGAGATTTTTTTCAGACATTTCAAATTTTGAATATTTCGAGGTTACTGTAGTTTTCGTTTTTTCCTAAACCTCCGATCTTCAAGCTTCTAAAATTCAAAAGTTTCAAATTATTCACAAGTTCTGTATTTTTAAAGGTGTTTCAATATAATAAAATACAAATCANTGAAAAACACGGCGCCGGCCCCATTACAAGTATGACAATTTGGCGTTTCTGAAAATCAGAGACTTTAAAGTTTCTAGGTTCCGGACTCCTAAAACAAGACAACGTGTCAAAAAAGCCAAAAATTCAAATTTCCCGCCAATCCACTCATTTTTGAATCTCCTCCTTTTCTGTCCACTGAAAGTCGTCCTTTATCCGTAACACTTCATCACGATGACTTCATTTTTTCGTTCGGTACTAACATTTACATACCGTAAACACTCTAATAGAACGCCATCCGAAATGTCAAATTTGAGCCAATGTATCTCATTTTCTGTGAGAGATATCGAAAAGTGGTTAACTAGTAAAATGTAGCTGATATCATGTTAATAATTTTATCAGTTGACAACTTTTGGATATCTTTCAAAAGAAGTGAGATAGAGGCTCAAAGTGGACGGTCCGGGTGGCGTTCTATTAGAATGTTTACGGTATTTTTCAAAAAAGAAAATTGTCAAAATTCTGTAAATCTGAAATTTCCAGATGTCCGAAAAAAGCATGCACACCAATTACGACTTTCCAACGATCGTCAACCACAGTCGGACGATTCAGGTAGAGTTGAATTTTGCATTTGGTACTGCTAAGCAGTAGCAAATTCAAGTTTTGCTACTGCTTAGCAGGTGCAATTTTGTCCATTTTTGCTGATTTTTCAATAAATATAATTAATTTGTTAATAATTTTCAATGTTTTTATGAAATTTTAGCGATTTTTGTCCAAAAATGGTTTTAGATCGATGAATTTCAGCTAAAAATCGAAAAAAATTAGCCAGATAAATCCAAATTTTGCTACTGCTTAGCATGTCCAGTTTTGGCTTATTTTTGTCAATTTTTCGACAAATTTCATGAAGTTTCTGATAAATTTCTATGTTTTTATGCACTTTTCTGCAATTTTTGTGTAAAAAATAGTTCGAAATCATTGAAACTCGCGGAAAAAATCGACAAAAAAGGGCAAAATTCATCTACCCGGCAGTAGTAAAAGCCATTTTGGTACTGCTGGACAGGTGCAATTTTGCCTATTTTTTCCGATTTTCCGATGAATTTCATAGATTTTGAACTTTTTTCAAACAAAAACTTGTAAAAAATTGCATAAAAACAGCTAAAATTGTTGAAAAATCAATGAAATTCGTCAAAAAATGTAGCGAATTCAAGTTTTGCTACTGCTGGACCGGTGTGTAATTTTGCCTGTTTTTGTTGATTTTTCGACGAATTACATCGGTTTTTGACTTTAAAAAAAAGAAAAATCGCAAAAAATCGCATGAAAACCTCAAAAATTATTGAAAAATTGACAAAAATTCTTCAAAAAGTCAAAAAATCCAAATTTCGCTACTGCTTAGCGGGTGCAATGTTCTTTCTGGCAGTAGTAAAATTGAATTTTGCAGTACCAAAACCCAAAACTTCCCCCCAAATTCCAGGTCCTATGCACGATCTTCCAACTGATTCTGATCTACACCGAATCCGCCGCGCTCTCATTCCTCACATTCGTCTTCTATTCGCTTTTAGTCGGAATGCACCTTCTTCATTTGGCTCGTAGATGGTATTATAACATTGACGGACGTTACGATGTTCGTCAAATCATTCGTGATAACGAGATCACTTTGAGAATTCAGTACGCTGTCGGTATGTGATAAGAAGATACGGTTTTACACCTGCTGGACAGTAGCAAATTCAAATTTTGCTACTGCTTAGCAGATGTAAAATTGAATTTGGTACTGCCAAGCAGTAGCAAAATCTCACTTTGCTACTGCTAAGCAGTACCAAAATCCAAATTTTCCAGCCATCTTCTCCCCATTGATCCTTGGATTCCTCTCCTGGGCGTTCGTCGAGCTCAACAACGGACTCGTTCACTCTCTCTTGCATGTCGCCGTGCTGATTCAAGTGACTTTCGCCGTTGGACAGCTCGGACTCGAATTCTATGAAGTTTGCATCGCCAATAAGAAACAATGAGCTATCTATTCTTACAATAAATGATTTCTAGAATATTCTCTGTCTCTACACAGATTCATTTTGGGGGGTGGGAGTTCTTAATTTCAGAATATAAAACAATATGGACAATTTGATGGG